TGCTCGGCTTTGCTCGGTTGCTCGGTTCGGCGGATTTTCGTGCGACCGCGCCGCCGCCGCAATCGGAAGACTATCACTTTAGGGCTTCAGGGGGCTTCGGGGACCAAGCCCTGAACCCACAGCCCTGTTGTGAGCACAGGGGGTAGGCTTTGGGGGTTGGCTTGGCGCAAGCGCCTACATAATTGAACCGCAAACACAGTGTCAGTCAACTTGGGTTTCTAATGCATCATGATCTGGGATATGGAGTATGCGGCAGTATGCGTGTGATCCTTTCGTCCACAGAGAGAAGACAAAAAGATGATGCAGAACGAAGACCCTCTAAACCCTCAACCGGCAACCCTACACCCTAAGCCTTCACTCTAAAATGGGTATAGTTATAGATACCTGACAGCCCACGCGTAGTAACTCCCTTTTCAAGATCTCGTAAGACTGCCGGCTTGCTTGAAACGATCAGGCCACTGGTGTCGTGGCTGCCTTACTACAAGCATTAGATTGCAAACTTCCAGCGAAAGCAGCTCCAAAAGAAACGTAGGCTTTTGCTCGAGGCTTTTCACTCCAAATTGACCTCCTCCATCAATGATACCTTGCTTCCCTAAACTGTCAGAATCGTACCAACTTGAAACCAAAAATTGTACAAGTTGGTATTGGAGAACCAAGGTACTTGAGAATGTGAAGCTTTCGTGATGCGGAAGACCAGCATAGCCTCCGTTATTTCAACTAACCAGGCCAAGAAAGGTTAAAATCTTCATCTAGACCAAATGCATAAGCCCAAAAAAATCAAACTTTTCAATCTAAACCAATGTTCAAAGAGATATGAACCCGGCAATATTAGCCCCTGCCGCGGCAAGGCGGTTCTGAAGTAGGAGACCTCGGAGGCCTAGCCAGGAGACTTGAGCACCTGACCTATTTGATCACCTCTCCAATTCAATAACCAACGACATGAACCTTTAATCTTTCAGGATAATACTCTAAGTTATAAACCCCAGAAGTGTAACAATTTAATTTTGGAGAAGAAGGAAAGCTGAAATAGGTAACCAGCACCAATGCAGCCACTGCGCCGCTCGGCATTGCCCGGCGTTGCTCGGCGCTCGCTTTTTTGAAATAGCATCAAGATAACCAAAAGTGAGCCGAGGCTCAAAATAGCTCGACTGTCCGACGAAAGTGCGCAATTTTGGTTGTGTGAGATGATGTGCCGAACCCTTGATGCTCATGCTGTTACGCATTCAGTAATCCAAGACAACCAAAAGCAGGAAATGTCAGGACGCTACGCACTCAGTAATTCAGGACAACCTAAGGCAGGAAATGTCGTCAGGCACACGATCACTGTTTCAAGCTGACCCCATTTTCCGACCCGCTCATTTCCCGCTGTTACTGTTTCCCCGGCTTCGCCCTCCGATGAAATCTGGGTCCAGGCGGACACCACACGTACAGATTGAGGAGGCGTGTGGTGGGCCAAACCTGTTTTCACCTGTTTTCATCGTTTTCAGACTCGGCCGCCAGTCCCCCCCTCCCCACCCCCGTGAATGCGCCCAATGGCAAAGGCCTTCACTCACTGATTGCAGCCGCCCATCGGGCAAACGTTGTTATCCACGTGCGTCACCACACATGAATCATGCATGGCCTGTTGTTTGTATGCAAATATTTTCACGCAGCAACAAACACAACTTAACCTTAACATCCTTTAACTGGCCGCGTTCGCTTGTTTTTGAAACATACAGGTCATGGCAACATTCTTTTGCTTTTTGTTATGCATGTCATTTGAAGATTGCATGAGCTCATTCAAGCTTTAGTCTAAACCTTTTAAAGGGGATTATGTAGGGGACCAGTATACGTGCTTTTAAGTAGAAGCGTAAACTATGGCCCCTGTATTTGGCGGCGTTTTAAAGGTTGCTATGTGATTCGATCTTGTTGTTGTTGTTGTTGTTGTTGTTAACAAATGTGGTCAAGCGCTTCATCGTTGCTGTTTACTTTCACCGGGGTTGGAAATGTTCCGACAAACCGTTATGCGGCATGTAATGGGTTTCATGCATTTTCATGTGGCACGGACAATTTCGTTGATCGTGTAGCATCTCGCTTGCATGTTGATTTCAACTAAAGCAATTTGAGCTGTCGTTTGATTTGTTTAGCGTCACGGCGTATAAACATGTCAGCAAGAAAGCTACAAACGCAAAATCATGTTTGGTAATTGAAAAGCAAGTGAAAGTGGAAGGTGTTCTGTACAAAATGCGGTCTGGCAAATCGAGGTCCGGGTTCCGTATGTTGCGTGCAAGTTTGACGGATGCTTCTTGGTAGTCTTGAAGCAGGTTTCTGCACTGAACTGGCATGGTTGGTAACCTGATCCACACGACGCCCTTGAATTTGATATGCTCAAGGCTGTGCAACACGGTATCCGTTTGTTTTTGGATCAGCTTGGATGGTGTCATTGGTGTCAAAAAAATGTTGTGAACATGTGTGTCAATAGAGGTTAAGAGCAAGATTTTGCAGAACATCTTGATGCTTTCCTGTATCAATGGAAAACCTTTTCAAGTTTTGCTTGACGCAGTCCGTGTGACGTGCAAGGGTGGTGATTTTTGCCATTTCAACCTTGCTTGAAGACGCCATGGGGCCTGTTGATATGGCGGCGAATGCCATGAATCTTTCCTTGATACCGGCAGTGGACGACATGATTTCTCGAACAACTGCTTGGCAGTCCAGTGCTGATGGTCGCACAAGCTTGCTCGATGCCTTGCAGAAGTTGTTCAAGGCCTATGACATCAACGAAGCTGGGAAGATTGCGTGCAGTGATTTCGTGAAACTGGAAATACGCAATGGTCTGGATCAGGGCGATCCGCGCAGGATCCTGCAAGCCTTCCCCAAGATGATGCGCGCTGACGCTTCTGGGTCAGGGATGCTGAACTTCTTAGAGTTTTGTGCAGCCCAATTGGCATTACCAGATCAAGACAGCGCGGCTCGGTAGCCGTTGGTACATGGGTTTATCGTTTTGGATACATTACATGCTGATAGAATCTTTAATTTTCATACGGACAGCAACAGTACTGGTTTTTGAAGAAGTGGTCGAGGGCTAGCAGCAATTGAACATGCAGTTTGGTCAAATAATGAAACGATGCGACAACAGATGCCAGGTATCACGGAAAATTCCTTCCATTGCAGACTTGTTGCGTGCAGCCAAGCGGGACCTTGCCAGCACGTTGTCCGAAAGGCGGGTTTGAATCTAGGGCAAGAAGAGTGTATGTGAAACTGATGTTGCGTATCACGCAGCCTGTTGACACGTGACCTGGTGCAAATGCTTTTGTTAAGCGGTGTACGATTGCCATGATTGTTGTTGTTGTTGTTGCTGCTGACGACCAGGATGATCACCACTGCACTGCTGCCGCCACCCCCCGCCGCCACCAACGCCGCCACTACTAGCACCACCGCCGCCGCCGCCGCCGCTGCCCCCACCACCACCACCACCACCGCCGCCCCCACCACCACCACCACGACGACCACCACCACCACCACCACCACCACCACCACCACCACCACCACCACGCTTCATCGAGTTCTGTCTTGCCCTGAAAGTGTATAGCAAATGCTCAGTAGCAAGCGAAGCTTAGCTAAGTGGTCGGAAAGTGCCATCAAGCATTTATGCCAAGCTTATCTGTTTGTTTCTAGACAGGTGGCGAATGGGAGCGCGTTATTCCGTCGAGATTCGTCAGGAGCTTCAGCAGGCTTCTCTTTTGAAACTGGCACTTGCGGTCCTATATCCCTAATACACAACTAAACGATAATTTGGGGTTGTCAGAGCCGATTGGGCAAGATAGCTTCTGTGGCAAGTGGTGACCATTTCAATCAAACATCTTTGCATGCTTCATCCTGAAGGTGTTCTCTGGCTGGAAAGTAGAAGGTGCTTCATGCCTATCTCCATGCGATTGGGTGATGGCAGCGAAAATTGTGGAGGCGGAATGCGACAACATTTTAAGTGCAAGGTGGACGGGTGAGGCATCCTTTGCAGAAGCAGATCGAAACCGTGATGGGCTTCTTGGTGAGCCTGAGCGCACGCCCTAATGTCAATGAAAGACTTTGAGTTCCCTTGTTCACGTACTGGCATCATCCGCGGATTCGTTTGTGCAAGCTGTCCTGCCTAGGCTACTTGATCTGGAGGAGTTCCTTTCCTTCAGCTGTGGGGTGGTCGAAGAGTTCTTTGAGCAGGATTTGTCAGGTGCCTTGCATATGCTGAGGAAGGTGAAGTCACATCATGACAGCCGCCCTCCCACCCTGAACGTCAAGATTGCCGTGCACATGCCGCAAGCCTTCGGCGTTTTCCAACTCCCAAACCAGGCACAGCATTTGGAGTCTGCTTACCGCCATGCTTTGGATTTGGAGCTGCCAAGTTCGATCACGAGGCTCTCTGATTTTCTGACGGTGTTACGGCTCAAGCTTGGTCTGATACGCATGTGGTTCGCTGTCTTTTGGCAATCACCTGGTCGTAGCATGGAGAAGCACCTTGACTTGCTGTCTCCAGAGAATGGCCACAAGCTCCTGCACGAAACCTTCGACGGGGCAGCCAAGAAAACAGGCTTCGTTGCGCCGACGATTTACATTACAAACATCAGGCCGAAAGCGTTTCAGCTGCAGGAAGTGCCACTGCAGCCGCACTTGAGCCACATGCTTTGATTTACTTGCTTCTATGTCGGTTAGCTGCATGCTTGAAAGGTGTGTTAGTGCTGGCCAAGGCTTTGTCAGGAGCTGGAGCTCAATACTCTACGAGTTCAAACCGGTACGCGTTGGTGTGTGGATTGGGAGTTGCAGCTGCTGGGGTCAGCCCGCAGTCGCTTCATCAAGTGCCCCAGGGACTTCCGCATTGCCGTAGGCGACAGCATAGTCATCAGTTTGCCTCCAGAAGAAACAGGCATTGTGGTCAAGGCATACATGGGAGATGGTGGAGCTCTCTCCAAGCCAAGCATTGAGCAAGTGCAAGTTCAGAAGGGCAAGCGAGGGAAGCAGGCTGGACGGGATTTTCCGGCATGTCAGTCTCGAATGTGCAACAATTTGCGTCTACGTTACAGGAGTTGGACCAAATGCTTGACTGCAACAAATCCTTGACTGTGAGCGTCCACATCTGCATTTTACAGGTCATCCAGGCCTTGTCTGGTGGTGTCGCAGATGGTGCTGCAGGCCATGTGTCTGTCAGCGTGCAGGATGTAGGCAGTTTACTACAAATCTGCACAGTTTGGTATGGCTTGGATAGTTTTCCTTGGATTTTCATGTTGGTGCCGGTTAAGAAGGTCGCTGACAGGTGCCGGATATGCAACTTTGTGCGTGCGCGTAGGCAAGAGGCTGCTGTTCTGTTTTTCAGGTGCAGCAGGCAACGAACTGGTCCCAAAGGCTCCAGCAGATCCAAAACCAGCAAACAAGCGGCCACAAAGCGGAGTGTCCCACCGAACTGCACGCCTTCACGTGGATCGTCGTCTTGTGCCGTGGCAAGACAAGAAGCCAAACTTTCTTTGATCATTCTTTTTCTTTTTCCCTTGCAGTGGAGTTCCGGATTCTGTGGGAGCCTGCCATGCTGAGGTCTTCGTTGGGCAGAAGGAAGGGACCTGCACCCTCTTCACTGAGCTTAGTTGCTCGGCTTCAGGAACAATTTGCAGAATCAAGACTTGTTGGTTGGTGTGTTGGCGAGGCTGGGAGCATCAGGAAGAGCTGTTGGCCCAGGGCATGTTTCCCACACCTGCCGCGGAGGCCACTTTTTCACTCATCATGTCTGCAACGGACGGACGGATGTTCCGTCTCTTCAAGCATCGTTAATATCAGTCAGAATTGCTGGAAAGCTTAGTCTGCAATTCGAGATGGGCTCAACGAGATCAGTTGTGTGTATTTCAATGTCAATTTTGTTGGTCAACAAGATTCTAGGGCCACCTGAAGTGCTGCAAAACGACATCATATGTACTGGAGTTACAAGGGGTTTGTAGTGCACTTACGATACTTATCATCCTTGATGTTTGGAACGGTTTAGCAGGGAAAGGGAGTGAAAGGCTCTTAAATCTGAACCTAGTAGAACGAGATGGTCCTCTCCAACAGGAATCGGAGTATGTAAAAAGAGATGAGCGAGATCCCAGAGCGAATATGTCACTTGTGACCATGGTCCTGACAACTTTTGACCGCTGCTCATGTGAAGCTACTGCTTCGGCCAGGCATCTGTGGGAAGGATTGGGCCTTTGCAGATCACAGTGCAAAAAAGTTCGCCGCAAGTCCCAGAGCTGCAGAAAGCGAAGGGCTTTCTATGGTGGACTGGAAGCAAGCCTTGGCCCAAGATATCTCGACTTTGAGTTGGAAGCCTGGGCTCCTCATTCCTTCCGCCAGGTGGGCTGCAAAGCAGATGAAGTCGAAGCCGCAGCCGGAGACTCGCCCAAAGACGCCCGCTGAGATGCAACAGAACCAATCTAGCTGGGCCCGAGCCCCGCCCAAGAGGCCTTGAGGCTGTCACACATGTTGGCTTGAACATGTGTGCTTTTCAGATCTTTCAGTTTCCTTTTCAGTTGAGCCTACTAAGTCTTGGGCTGTAGCTGAAGGTTTCCGTGCTTGCTGCGATTGGTCTTGATTCCGTGCACATTTAACACGTTTTTCGAGCCTTCTCAATGAGTCATGCATTTCACGAATAAAATGAAGTAATGTGAAGCAGTGTGCCCTGTGGTGTTGTATCAGGCTCTACTAGAGATGAGGTACTGCTCTTACTTTGCCAAGGCTAGGTGGTGCATGCAAGATGCATACCACCCAAAATCTGACATGCTTGAAGAGCCTTCAGGTCTGTTCACGCTGTTCTAGTCAACATCAACATGCCTTTCAGCTGCTGTTGACTTGAAAGCCCCTCAAGTAAGCCTTTTGCAGCTCATTTGCAACTCGAACCTGCTGACAAAGGAGCAGCTCAAGTCATTATCCAAATGTCCAGGGGAGGAACCAACTCCTCCTCAGCCATGTGGTGCTTGTAGTGTGTGGGCATAGTGCTTTATTGACGCAGCTAGGTGCAGAGAATGCATGTTATCTAATATCTTGGCTGTTCATTATAGTGCCGTTCACTGTCTTTGTCGGAGGGCGGAGTTACGGTTCGTGACTTTGCACCTCGCAGACAGCCGCGGCTGTACAAATTCTTGCGTTTCACCTCGCGTTTTGCAAAAAGGTGTTTGTGCCACCGCCAGCAGGAATTTCCAATTCCACTAGCTGCCGCTTACTTTCGTATGCGCGAGTATCTGCAGGACATATCATGGAGCCTTGAGGCTCGAGAGCAGCCTAGTGGCTAGTTGCCAGGTCCCAGTCTGGCTGCTAACTTGCTGCTAGTGCAGCAGGCTACGGAGAGAGATGGTAAAGGAAGCTTCATAGAGTAGTCTTTATGCAGAAAGAAAGCTGCGAGTTTGTGCGTCTATTGCCGTTTACAGCTCATCACATTTCCAACGGAGTGGCAGATTGCTGTACGGCTTGTCTAAGGGACTTAGGTATCATGTAAGGGCTTGGCCTTCAGTAGGTTTGCTTTTGGTTCTCGGGGGCTGCAGCTTATGAGGCCAAGTAAAGAGGAGCTTTGAGTATGCATTGGGAGCAACCTAAATGTTCGCAATAATTCCGTGACACCATGCCCATCCAACACCCATGAGTATGTGACTGTATTGCATTCCTATAAAGCTCAGACTGGCTAATTAGGTGTACTGGTTTTGAGATTGTGCGGCAACTGTGGTCTTCATCTCCAGCTTTCTTGTAGCACGTTACGTTCATCCCTCATACAGCAATCTACCAGATGGTGTATCATCGCGATGGACTCCTCGTATGTTATGTGGCTGGCATGTTGGCACATGCAGGATACTTTAGTGCTCTGCAACCAAGAGGACGCACTGCAAGACCAGAACGGCAACGGCCTTTGCTGGTACAACAGTCCTTTAGCTGATGCCGGCATTGGGCCAGCATAGGCATTTTTCCTTTTTTGCCTTCTTCTTGATGGGGTGAGGAATGTAATCCTTGGGGCTGATGAGGCGACAGGAACTACCTCCGCTGCTGCGTCCATGCGGACCCAGACTGCTGGCAGGGCATTTGGGCGACGGAGGGGCTTTGCTGCCATCCCTTGACAGACACCTACCAGCAATGTTTTGACTCTATTGAGCAGAACGTTGAGGCTAAGCTGGGTAAAGTGCGAAATCTGCGAGCAGAGGCCGAGGCAGTGGGACTGGAGCAGGTAGCTTTGGATATCAGCCAGCACATCTATTCCTTCGAGGCTTTGCTGGCCCAGCCACTGGCTATGTGGTCCTACGCATGCAGTGTCCCTGACAATCCGCTTATTTGGAGTCCATCCTGTGACTGCTGCGACCCACAGGAGCTGCAGTGCGCAGATGGAGGCCTGCGTCCTGATGAAGAAGAGATATGGCTTCAGTACGCGAGGTGCTGCTTCCCGGTATATGAACGGAAGAGTCTAGCTGAAGCAGATGCAGCACTCCAAAGAAGCATTGAAGCTGACTTGCAAGCATTGCGGCCATTGAGATCAACCATTCAACAAGAGGGCCAACAGCTTGCTTGGAACATGGGTGGAACGTCGCTTGCAAAGGGCTGTTTAATCTCAATCCATGAGAATGGAACAGTCACATCATGCCAGGAGAGCCATGCCTGTCATGGTTTTGACTGCTCCTACCTTCGTGCGGTCATGCTGGCTGTGCGCGTAATACAGGCAATCCACCCGCTGCCCCCCATGGAGTTCATTCTGAACGCTGGTGATGAAACGATCGAGAACACGTTGCCAGATGCACCGATTTTCACTCGCACAGGGACACGCTGGACTGCCACATTGGCATTGCCCTTTGAGTGGCAGCTGCACCCTACACAATGTGTTCGAAAGCTCAAAGAGGGCATGCTGGCGTTGGAGCAGAGCAAGTGGGAGGACCGTGCATCCATCCTTGTCTGGAGGGGAACGCATTCAAATCTGTGGCATCCAGAGTGCAGGGCTGCACCGGCAGCAGAGGATGACTTGATGATGGCTAGATGTGTAAAGTCACCACCTGCCCGCACCCCTGCGTGGAACTTCAGCACATGGCTCCAGCTGCCTCGGGGCCGGTTGCTTTGGTTAAGCCGTTTCGTTCCATTTATTGATGCCAAGTTAGTCGAGTCCAGCACTCTGCCACCAATGGCTGAAGACTTGGAGCTCTTCTTGCGGGATGAAGGGCTCTTTGCTCCGCGGATGGATGCTGGTGACTTTCAGCAGTTCAAATACCAAGTTGCAATGGAGGGAAATTGCGCGACTGACCGCCTGTCCTGGCAGCTCTTCATGGGCTCGGTGGTTCTCATTCCAGATCAGCCATGGCAGGTCATGTCGCCGCTGAATTTGCTGGAGCCATGGATCCATTTCGTTCCAGTTGCGTGACCTGCCAAAGTCTTTGTGCACATTGTATCTCAAACCATGTCCAGTCTACGTTAAGAATCTACCCTGTCTTGCATCTTGAGAGTGATCTGGGAGATTCCGGGTGTTTGCAGAAGTTTGGGACCATTGGAATCTTGGTAGCCTCCATAGTTCGGTTATTGGGTGTTCTCATTTTTGGGGGTCTGCCATCACCATTGACCACCTAATTTCCTGGAGAGCATGGAGAAGGACAAGAGAAGGAAGCAAGCAAACAGTCCAGCATTTCAGCAGGATCCCAGGCTGCATCCAGCATAGATGAAGGTGGCAAAGCTAGGATGGGGCCTGTGTAGGTGGCTCCTGCAAAATGGATTCTGAGTTTGTAATCAAGAGAAGGAACACCCCAAAACTAGAAAAGTCGTTCGATGATTTAAGCCCGGAAACACATGGAAAATGCAGGGAGTGTAGAACATTGACCAGAAGACAAAACCATGGTCTGAAACTCAGTCGCTTCTCAAACAAATGGGCACCAAACGGACAAGGAGATTCGGAAACAACGTCACCCAGCGGTGTTTTGGAATACCAGGATCATGTGATGAGGCACATCATTTCCACAACTTTTACAGTGCCACTTGAAGGCTAACTCAGGCCCGCTCCTGTCTCAGAGCTCGGGAGGGCAACGTAAGGATGTTCTGCACGTGCCGTTTGGCAAGCAAGACAGGGACTTCCGGAGGCTACTGCCTGTCTTTCCAATGCGTACTTTCTTTGAGTGAACTTTCGTGTACCACAAAGGTGATAATCCTTTGTCCGTGGGCTTCGAATTCCCGTAAGATATGTGAGCGTTCAGTGGCCTTCTACTTGAGAAGAGTATACACTATACACAACTGATTGAAAGTGCATCAAAAGGTACGATCTGAGCGACTTGGTGGACCGGCTGTTGTGGCTAATCGCACACGACGCGGAAGCCAAAGCCATAGCGCAAAATGGTGTTGCATTTGCTCACCGTTCCACGGCTCAATTCAGCTCGGACACATCAAAGTTTATTGTTTCAACTTTGCTCAAATCTTGAACTTGGAGCTTTTATTGTGGGGCTGGTCCATTGCAATCTCTTGCCCATTTGTGCAGGCTACCTAACATGCTTCTCGGCCGCATTGGCGTTCTGGAACTACATGCGATTCATATTCGGCTTGATATTCGTGACTGGAAAAACATGACTTGACATGTAGGATGCCAACTTCTTGGCTACGGAGTTTGATCCTGGCGTAGGCAAGCAAGAGTGCAGGTTCAGCGCTCCGTTAACACCTTGATTTTTTGTTTGTGTGTTGCTCACTTACTCTCTCCATCTCTCCATCATGCATCCGCACATCGATGCAATGCACTGTGATAGCTCGCCCTTCCGCGCGATTCATGTGTGTTGAACAATTTGTACTTCAGGCCAATGCAGCTGGCTGAAATGAAGGCATGCGCTCATTTATTCACTTTTTTTTTCTCATGCCTTTCACAAGTCATTTACTTCTTCATCCCTTGAACCTTCTCTTTCTCCTGTTATCCATACATTTTACTGCTGCCATCCGTGCGTTCGCTGATGCGCACTAATGGATCGCCTGTGATGGCATTGCGCATCCGGTGTTGTTTCGGCAATGACATGAGGTGATGACTACATTCACTACATGGACCGGTTGCTGCGCATGATCCTGGCCTTGAAGTAAAGCGTCCAGTTAGAGCGACCCAAAGTACTATGGAGTGGTGATTGGGAAAGTTGGCTATATGTTCGTATTGTCCGTGCCTCTGTGGAGACCCGAGGTATGCTCAAAAGCTTGTCTGAAATGCTCGTCTGGCACGTGGGATGCTTCAGCCCTTGCCCAAAAAAGCCCAAAGAAGGCCCAACGTGGAGCGGTGCTGAGCAGTGCTGAGTCAAACAATCACATGGCTGCATCGAGCAGGATGAATTGTGGCATGAATCATGAGTGGTGGCGGAGGATTTTAGCCTCGTGGATGATGGTTGTATGCTGATGGCTCAAGCTCGTAACAAGCTGTGCTGTGCCCCTGGCCAGCCGGGCAAGTGGACCATGGCAAAGGCTGGGCCCTGTGCGGGAGAGAGAGAGAGAGACAAAGAGAGAGAGAACGAGATTCGATGAATTGGGGCACAGGTAGGACAAGGTCAACAGCCCTTTGTCGTCCGCAACTACTGAGTTTTCTCTGTCAAGGAGGGCTACGGGGTGAAACCCAGGCGCGTCCCTCAGGCACTGCGCAAAGCCTAAAGAAGAATAAGAAGAAGATGCAATGAACAATGCGAGAAAAGTTGTCCCCTTAAAAAGAGGGATGTGTATCAAAAAACCAAATAAGGATCATAAAGCACCAAATAAGGATCAACAAAAGACCAAATATGGAACAACAAAAACACAAATCTGAAAATATGGAGAAATCAAAGGAAAACGGACCCCCCCCAGCCGGCGCACGGGAGGATAAAAGATCCTAGTACAGAAAAATCAATGGGAAATTGCTCCCCCAGAGAAGCGAGGAAGCAAGGAGGGAAGGAAGGAAGCAAGGAAGGAAGAAGAGCAAGCAAGAAAGACAGAAAAGCAGGAAGGACGGGAAGGCAGGAAGGAAGACAGGAAGGAAGGACGGAAGGAAGAAAGGAAGGATTGTTCAGCGATTTTCATGGATTGTCACATTTCTCATCAATTTTCATCACGCTCAGCATCATTTGCATGATATATCATGGTTTTTGTAAACAGATTTCGTTTTCGTCATTTGCCAGGGTTTCTTCTCATTTTCGTAATTTCCCTGATTTCGCATAATCTTCATATTTTCTTGGTCATTGTGCGCAATTCCTCATTATTTTTCATCACAGCAAGTGTCGTAGTTTTTCCATTATTTTCAGCAGTTTCCGTGATTTTGCATGATTTTCTTTCATCAATTTGTATAAGTTTACATCAGCTGCCATATTTTTCAGCACCTTTGATCACATTTATGATTTCGTTTTGGTTGCAAATGGGGGTGGGGGCTGCGCACCCCCCCCCCCCTCCCCCCACCCCCACGCTGTTTTTGAAGGCAACCCATGCTTGCCATTGCTCATCGTTTGAGATCATATCCTAATTTCTCTGATTTTTCACAAGTTTCATGTTTTCTTGATCCTTGTGCGCAATTTTCTCATCATCTTTCATCACAGCATGTGTCGTAGTTTTCCATTTTTTCAGCAGTTTCCGTGATTTTGCATGATTTTCATCATTTGTATCCTTGCGGCTTTCGCAATTGTACAGCA